GGTGGGAGGGAGCAGTTAGGACAGATGTTCTTCCTTCCCACCATCCTGACCCTCCTGGTCATAATTTATAGGGATGGGCTAGTGCGTGGGCTGCAGGGCTCCTCCTCTCAGATGCCTACTTGGGGTCCCAGCCAGGTCAGGGAACAGGGTACCCTGCACCCACCCCCACTTCCTTATCTTTGCAGCAACAGGATCTGGGCCCAGAAAGGGGTGCAAGTCTTGGGCTCTTAGCAGATGTGTTGGGCCTGGCACCTCATAATCTGGTGGCTTTGGCACCCATGTGGGGGGCTGGGTGCAGCTGAAGAAGCTCATGCTGCGAGTTGGGAAACACAGACCTTGGCTCTGAGGGAAGGGGGAAGAGCCAAACACAGGGATCCAGCCCCCACTGCAGTTTTTCAGAGGTCCCAGGGCACACTGGGGACCCTGCCTGAGATGCTCACTCTCTGCTTCACCCATCGCCCTCCATGAGTTTCAGGGACTGGGCTCTCTCTGGCCTGTTCTCACTGCCTCTCCTATGGGGAAAGGGACAGATAGAGTCCTCCTGAGTTTAGCAAACATTGCAAAACTGAGTTGGGAAGTGTGGGGGAGGACAGTAGAGGACAAGGTGAGGATCATCATCAGCTTGCAGAGTCCACAGAAACCCCAGGGGCCTCCCAATGCAGTCTCTGACCCACAGCAGAAATGCCCTTTCCACAGTATCCCAGATGGGGGCGGGAAGACTAGCCTGGCTTAGAACTTCCGGTGACAAGGAGGTCCCCCACCTCAAGGCATCGCTCCGTTGTGGGACAGCCCAGGGGTTAGAAAGTTTTCTGTATCCTGAGCTAGAATCTGCCTTCTGGTGACTCCCTTCTGCCTGGGCCTGGCCTCAGGATGCCCCAAGTCTGTACTCCTCAAAGGCAAAGACACAAAACTGCTGTGGTCTCCACCTGATGCCTGGGCCTGACAGAGGGATGGATGGAGGGAGGAACAGGAGGAGAAGGGGTTGGAGGGAAGGATAAGTGAAGGGAAGGATAAATGGAGGGAGGGATGGAGGGAGGGAGGGATGGAGGGAGG